AGCAGGAATATTTACATTTTATGCTTAAAGAATAAATAATTAGATAAAGTGTTTGTGTTGGGGTGAGTGGAGAATAAGGGTTGTCAAAGGAATGAACTAGGCTAACACCCTTGACTGAAGAAAGCAAAAGCATTAACATGTGGTGAAAATGCTGCATCTAAAGCAAGGGAAAAGCAACAGAGGGTATTTTGAACAGTAAATAAAAAAATATAAATTCACGCAAAGAAATAAGCGGTCACAAATGTCCAATACTCTGACTCTTCTCTCTGAATCAAAGCAAATGTTTCTGAGCTGGATTGGTACCATGCCTCTAAATGGCCTTTTTAAAAACACCTGTGTCGCCTGACTCATCCTTCCATGCTACAATCAACTGCCAGTGTTTGGAACCAGTAACAGGTGCTAATTCTCAATAACAGCATTTCTCACCATCTGCATGCTCATTTATTTGGGGTTTTGGCCATACAGCAGTATCTTTTAATCCGCTGGCAACACTCCACTATCAGATACCCTTCTGCTGATATAAATTAATACATCTGAAGATTTGTGTGGGGGTGTATGTTGCAGGGGAAGGGGGAAATGTGTAATAAACCTGTCTGTCCACTTCCCAATATTCTATCATGCTTTCTTACCCAAAAATCAAGTAATTGATTCCTAAACTCCCCAGCAGCAACTTGGCTACTTCTCAATTTATTTTATTAGGTAAATTTTGTTTTCAAGCCTTCCCCTCCATTCCCTCACATGTTTCCTAATCATAGAAGGACCTGGAAACCCATTTAGGTTAAAGAAGGGAACACAGCCCCCGTTCTGAAGTTTCCAAATCTACAAAATGGACATCTCATAAACAGACTATTAGTCAGAGATGTCAGTACAGCTCATGACTTATTCATTCTGATTTTACAGCAATATCTCATTTGACTTTTGCCCAGCTCCATAAGATATTTGTATTGCTTTAACGATTATTTAGAAAACTTCTACCCCCGCCATGCTCTCCTTCCTTCTTAACTTAGCTTCTTTAATATTGCAGTTATATCACACTATTTTTTAACGAAGTTGATTCATCTTTCACACCCTCTTAGAATAAGC